GGGGGGTGCAAGCAAACAGGCTCTCTCCAGACTCTAGACTGGGGGCAACTCCCCCTCCCCAATCTCTGTCTGCGCGCTTCCAAAAGTGCCCCCCCCAAATAGGATGCAACATTTAAAGGGGAGGCGAGGCAAGCAAAGCAAAGCAAAGGAGACCCCCCCCTCCCCTCAATCCAGACTCCTGCTCCTCCCTCCCCTATGGGACTCACCTGTCTTTCCTCCCACCCCCGGGGTGCTTCAGAGGTGGGGGCCCCCCCGGGGCCTGCCCCCCAGCAGGCCGTCCATCGGCAGCGGCTCCTCTCGTCCCTTTAAACCTCTTTCTCTCCCTGCAAGAGCAAAAAAAAAAAAAAAAAAAAAAAGGCAACGCCTTTACTCCGCCGGCGTAGGGCGCCGCGGCACCCTATGGCGTTCGCGTCACGCCGCCAGCGCAAGCGACGTTGGTGAATAACGAACTCAGAAGCTTAAAAGCGACTCGGTCTGGCCCTCAAGAGGGGCCCTCCCGTAAGGGGTTTTGGCGCATGCGTGCAGCAGATGGGAGAGAGGGAGGGGGAGAGGCAGGGCGGGGGGAAGGCGAGGAAAGGGGTTGCGGCCTCAATGGTGATTCGGAAAGTCTTCCGGTTTCCTGTTGCAGGTTGTCGGAGCGTCCATGTGAGGGGCATGTTTTTGTGTGTGTGTGTATATATATATATATATGCGCGTGCACATCTTTAAAACGCCTTAATTCCTAGGTATGTGTGTGGATTTATATATACAAGACGTGGATTACGTCAAAGCCAGATATTTAAGATGCATTCTGTGCAGCTTTATTTTCTTTACTGTTTGTAATGTACCCAGTCCAGACAAGTCCAGACATGCCCAGAGACAAACGTGGGCACTCCATGAAATTGCTGAGTGGTCGGGTTAGAACGGATAAAAGGAAGTCCCTCTTCACCCAAAGAGTGATGAACACATGGAATTCACTGCCACAGGAAACGGTGGCGACTACAAGCATGGACGGCTTCAAGAGGGAATTAGATAAGCATATGGAGCAGAGGTCCATCAGTAGCTATTAGCCACAAGGTCTAGATAGGGGCTCTGGGGCAAGTGATGCTCAGTCTTCTTGGTGCTTGGGGGGGGGGGGAAGAGTGGGAGGGCTTCTAGTGTCCTGGCCCCACTGGTGGACCTCCTGATGGCACCAGGTATTTCTGGCCACTGTGTGACACAGAGTGTTGGACTAGATGGGCCATTGGCCTGATCCATCATTGCCGTCTCTTATGTTCTTATGTTCTTAACTAGAATATCGCTGTGCAATGCTATCAGTGCAATGACATCACATCTGGGTGATGTCATTGTGCCCCATTTCAGGGCATTTGCAGGCGGGGTTGCTGGACGGTGGTGGGGAGGAGCCCGCAAAAGCGGGGGACCCCCCACCCAGACGGGTGGGGGGAGGGGGGCTGGCAACCCTAGAATGAAGATTTTCTACTCTGAGCCCCAACAGATATAGGGACATAAGAGAAGCCATGTTGGATCAGGCCAATGGCCCATCCAGTCCAACACTCTGTCACACAGTGGCCAAAACCCAGGTGCCACCAGGAGGTCCACCAGTGGGGCCAGAACTACAGAAACCCTCCCCCTGTTGCCCCCCACAGCACCAGGAATACAGAGCATCACTGCCAGTGTTCCCTCTAAGCTGAGTTTAGTGTGAGCCAGCTCACCGTTTTTTAGCCTCCAGCTCACACATTTCTGTCTTCGCTCAGGAAGGATGGCTCCAGAGCAGACTAATTGATGCAGCAGCCAAATCGCTCACGCACAACTTTCATGCCAGTAGCTCACACAATAGAATTTTTGCTCACAAGGACCCACAGTTTAGATGGAACATTGACTGCCCTAGACAGAGAGTTCCATCTATAACTTGTGGATAATAGCTGATGGACCTCTGCTTCATATGCTTATCCAATCCCATTAAAGCTATGCTTGTAGCTGCCACTACTTCCTGCGGCAGTGAATTCTACATGTTAATGACTTTGGTGCTATCAGGTTTACATCTCTCACCAGGCCTTGCGCATTACACAGGACCAGGTGCAGGAGTGCCCCCCCCCCCCATAGGCTCTGTGACCATCTGCTCCATGGCACAGTCATTGAGAATATCTAGGAACCCAATCTCTTTCTTCTGACTTGAACACATTGACCCAATTAATGTTCAGGTAGTTAAAATCACCCATTATGATGCAGTTATTTTGTCTAGCTGCTTTCTTTCCTTAATTCCTTTGCTATTTTAAAATCATCCTTGAAGATAGATTCAGGTGGGTAGCCATGCTGGTCTGAAACAATAGAACAAAGTTTAAGTCCAGCGGCACCTTTAAGACCAACAAAATTTTATTCTGGGTACAAGCATTCGTGTTCATCTGAAGAAGTGTGCATGTACAGGAAAGCTGATACCCAGAATTAAACTTTGTTGGTCTTGAAGGTGCCACTGGACTCAAACTTTGTTTTAAATCATCCTCTTACCTTTGGTCTGGTGTGTGATAATAAACTCCCAGAGTTAACCCAGAGCCAGTTTAGTTTAGTGGTTAAGTGCACAGACTCCAATCTGGGAGAACCGGGTTTGATTCCCCACTCCTCCACTTGCAGCTGCTGGATGACCTTGGGCAAGCCATAGTTCTGTCAGAGCTGTCCTTGAAAAAGAGCAGTTTCTGTCCGAGCTCTCTCAGCCCCACCTACCTCACAGGGGGTCTGTTGTGGGGTGGGGTGGGGAGGGGTAAGGAGTTTGTAAGCCGCTCTGAGACTCCCTTGGGTAATGAAGGGCGGGGTATAAATTCAATCTCTTCTTCTTTTGGGCCCACTGTTTCCACCCGTAACATTTCTGTAAGTGAATCGATTTCTCTTAGATTCTCAATTTTAATGGACTGTATACCTCCTCTGCCATACAGAGCCACTCCATCTGTGACCCTTGCCTCCTTATCCTTCTGATATAATTTATATCCAGGAATCACTGTATCCCACGGAGTGTCCTCATCCCACCAAGTTTCTGAAATGCCCACAGCGTCTACAATCTCCTCTGACACAAAGCATTCCAGTTTCCCCAAGTGAGGAACGGAGGTGGTTTGTCCTTGCCTTCCTCTGCAGGGTCTTCCTTGGTGGTCTCCCTTCCAAGTACCAACCCTGCTTAGCTTCCGAGATCTGATGAGAGTGGGCTACACCGTGCCACCTTCCCTCCTGCTAGTCTTCAACAGAACAGTTATATTAGAGTTCAGTAGGTTTGGGAAACCATTTTGAACTGTGCAGCCTTATTCCATGCAGAAAAGCCCTCTTGAATAGTTGCTGTAGATTTTCCGGGTTGGTCTTGGCATTGTAGGACCTGACCTTTTGCCAGTAACTGTGACTGACATCCTCAGAGGTATAACACAGAAAGATGGAGTACTTCCTGTGTTATACTTCTGAGGACGCCCGCATGGAAGTTCTGTTATTCTGTCTCTGTGCGGGCAAGGCGAAATCTGCATTTGTCTTTCCCGCCGATGTCCCAGCCTCCTGTCTCCGTCTTCAAAAAAGCTGTCTACATTTGGTGTCGTTTTCACACCTGAACAGTGCTAGCATACTTTCACACTTCCACATATGTTTATCGTCCTTTGGGGCGGCTCCACTGTCATTGCACCTTTGCACTCCTTTAAAAGCATCTTCTCCAAACAACATTCAAGCAAGCGTAGAGAAAGAAGGTGCCACAGCAGCACGAAAATGATTTCAAAATGCAGATACGACCCAAGAGAATGTCTCAAAGAACAGAGGAATCGCATAGGGCTCGGAAGTGATGGTAGTGCGGCTTTTCAGTCGGGTTTTTTGCCTCTTTGGAAGGAGGCGGAAGAGGTGACGTAAAGCGCGCTAGAGAATCCGGCGGCTTGGAGTGGGGAGGAGCGAGGCGGGAAAGCGGGCTTGGCGGAGGCGGAGGCCGGGCGAGTTTTGTGACAGTGGCGAGTCTCACTTACGGCGGCCCCTTAACTCTTTCGTGCCCGTTTCCCGTTCCCTTAGTGAGGTCCTCTATGGCAATTCTTTAGAGTAACTTCAACATTTCCCTTGTTGTGCGGGTAGATAACCTACCACAGTCCATAGTTCTCTCCTCCAGTTTTGTTGTCTATCCGGGCGTGCTAATCAGAGGTAGACTGCAACTAGGATTGCCAACATCTCCAGGTGGTGGCTGGAGATCAATGTTCCCTCTAAGCTGTGGAGTCTTGTGAGCAAAAATTCCACTTTGTGAGCTACTGGCATTAGAGCTGTGAGCGTGGGATTTGGCAGCTGCACAAATTAGTTTGCTCTGGAGCCCTCCTTCCTGAGCTGGGAGGAGACATTTGTCTCTTTAAATCCCTTCTCCAAGCCAAGACAGCCAGCGTGGGGGCATGGAAGATGCAATTAAATTTAAAGTTTTCTTTCTACCTCTCCTTCCATCTATTTGCTTTCTTTCCACTTTTTTCTGTCTCTCTCTCTCTCCTCCCTCCCCATCTAAGGTTAAATGTGTTCCCCAAGCCCCGCCACACTGGCAGACTGGCTTGGCTCAGAGAAGGCATTGGTCTCTTTAATTTGATATGCAAATTTGCATATTTTTCAGTAAAAACGTGTAATATTTGTTCATGTCTTCTGGCTCTCAAACACCTGACTTTTTTCCTCTATGTGGCTCTCACGTTAAGCAAGTTTGGCTACCCCTGCTCTATTATATCCACAGATTGTACAGGTTAGGCTGAGATTGTGTGATTTAAAGGTACTCAAGATGGGTAGCCATATTAGTCTGGCTGTAGCAGTAGAAAAGTAGCACCCGAAAGACTAACAAAAGATATATGGCACGGTAGGAGCTTTTGTGAGCCACAGAACCTTAGAGTTGGAAGGGACCTCCAGGGTCATCTATTCCAACCTCCTGCACAATGCAGGACATTCACAAATACCTCCCCCCCACACCCCCAATAAGCTCTTGAGAGATGTTGGATCCTTTGCTTTGTTTCTCATCTTCCTCATACTCTTCCATACCCAGCTGGGACCCATACAGCATGGTGGTTATTGTTGTTGTTCAGTTGCACAGTCGAGTCCGACTCTTCGCGACCCCATGGACAATCTCCCGCCAGGCTCTCCTGTCTTCCGCCGTCCTCCGAAGTTGGCTCAATTTCATGTTCGTTGCATCGATGACACTGTCTAACCATCTCATCCTTTGCAGTCCCCGTCTTCTTTGACCTTCAATCTTTCCCAGCATCAGTGAGTGCTCCCTTCTCATCGGGTGGCCAAAGTATTTGAGCTTCAGTTTCATTATCTGGCCTTCCAGGGAACAGCCAGGGTTGATTTCCTTTAGGATTGACTGATTTGATCTTCTTGCAGTCAAGGGACTCTCAAGAGCCTTCTCCAGCACCATAGTTCAAAAGAATCTGTTCTTCGGCGCTCGGCCTTCCTTATAGTCCAACTCTCGCAGCCATACATGACTACTGGGAATACCATTGCTTTGACCATGCGGACTTTTGTTGGCAGGGTGATGTCTCTACTTTTTTTATCATGCTGTTTAGGTTCGCCATCGCTCTCCTCCCAAGGAGCAGGCGTCTTTTAATTTCATGGCTGCTGTCACAGTCTGCGGTAGCCTCTGTTAAAAACCCTCCAAAGAGGGAGAGCCCGCCACCTCCCGAAGAAGCCTGTTCCACTGAGGACCTCCTCTGCCTGGAAGTTCTTCCTAATGTTTCACTGCTCACTCCTTCAGTCTCACACAAACTCATCCCCTGCTGCATATTTTTGTTAGTCTTCAAGGCGCTACTGGACTCTCGCTCTTTTACAGTGCTCAAGGGTACTCAAGCAAACTTCCCTGGCAAAGTGGGGATCCGAACCAAGGTCTCCTAGTCCAGCATTCTAACCACTAAAAACCCAGTGGCCTCTCAAGGCAGATAAAACGTCAAAATACAGACCGGCACTCGATTTTTGCCAATTCAGCCTTAGGGGGGCAACTTTAAATCCCAGTATTGCGAAAGCTGCGGTGGCTCAAGTGGTTAAGACGCTGAACTGCAGGCTGTGGAAGGTCCGTAGTTCAGCAGTTTGAGACCCGGGTGCCACATGATGGAGTGAGCTCCCGTCTCTAGTCCCAGCTCCTGCCAACCTAGCAGTTCGAAAGCACGAAATTGCAAGTAGATGAATAGGTACCACTTCGGTGGGAAGGTAATAGCGTTCCGTGCTCCTCGGTGTTTAGTCATGCCGGCCACATGACCACGGAAACGTCTTCGGACAGCGCTGGCTCTTCAGCTTTGAAACGGAGATGAGCACCGCAACCCTAGAGTCTGATTCGACTGGCTTTCGAGCAAGGGAACCTTTACCTTTACTGCGAAAGAGGTCATCGGTTCTCCTCCACTCATACAACTCCAGTAGACAGTAGAGACTCTGGATTCAGGTTTCTTTGTCAGCAAAATGGTGTGTGTGTGTGTGTCATTCAGCAGGGTTTGCCTGACAGTCTGAGGGGGGCCAAACTCTGACATCCCTTTCCTGGCACCACCCCAAGTGCCAAACACAGCTGTCAGGGTACAACATGGAAAAATAACACACACAGAGTGCTATATCCACCCCCCCAGTTCCCCTTCACCGGAGCCGACAGCTGCTCTCCCAAATCCAGGAAGAACAGAATGTCAGAAATTATTGACAGCTCCCCAAGCAAGGCTGCATCTGTCTAGCATTATACATCTCACGCCTGCAACCTTTCGTACCCGGCCTTTGGACACAGCAAGGCTGCTTCCCAAAGAAAAGTCCACCTAAAAATCAAATGCTGCCAATAAAGTAAAATCTCAGATTACGGAGGAAAAACAGCAATAGATTTAAAAAAAACAACAAAAACCAGGGAACTTTCCCCCCAAAAAAGCCTGAACACTTTGATTTTTGAAGGAGGAGGGATTTATACCCCGCCCTTCAATACCGAAAGGAGTCTCAGAGCGGCTTACAAACTCCTTTACCTTCCCCTCCCCGCAACAGACACCCTGTGAGCAGTGTTCCCTCTAAGGTGAGTTAGTGTGAGCTGGCTCAGTTTTTTAGCCTCTGGGTCACACATTTTTGTCTTAGCTCAGGAAGGATGGCTCCAGAGCAAACCAATTTATGCAGTAGCCAAATCGCTTGCTCACAACTTTAATGCCAGTAACTCACAAAGTAGTATTTTTGCTCACTAGACTCCACAGCTTAGAGGGAACATTGCCTGTGAGGTAGGTGGGGCTGAGAGAGAAGAAAAGATTGGATGTATACCCCACCTTTCACTACCCAAAGGAGACTCAGAGCGGCTTACAAACTCCTTTCCCTTCCCCTCCCCACAACAGAGACCCTGTGAGGTAAAAGAAGAAGAGATTGGATTTATACCCCGCCCTTCACTACCCAAAGGTGTCTCAGAGCAGCTTACAAACTCCTTTCCCTTCCTCTCACAACAGATACCCTGTGAGGTAGGTGGGGCTGAGAGAGCGCTCGCGAGAACTGCCCTTGAGAGAACAGCTCTGACAGAACTATGGCGCGCAGTATTCGTTAGCGTGTGAGCAATGACCGGAGGATATTCCTCATGGAACTATAGAAATACTTTAGCAAATGTTTTCGCAACTTATCTTTATTGACTCTTCGCCATTTTTATCACAGATGTTTTCGGAGTTCCACCAGCTGGAGGTTGGCAACCCTAGCCTTGGCCAGTTTCCAAACAGACACCGGGGGGAATAAAACTCCCCCACATGAAGCGCTCCAGAAGTTGGGTGCCCCCCCCCCAACAAGCGTGGCAACCAATGTCCAGCTTTATTAGCTGCTGCAAAGGGCAAGGAAAGCTGGCACCTAGAGAAGGTGGGCATGCCCCTAACCGGTTCAGGCCAGAAGAAACCCAGCCCTTAAGCGTGTCCAGAATGAAACAGGTGACAAAGCAGGCTTTGAACGTCAGCAAATGCCAACAAGCCCATATTTGGGGCAAAGTGAAACTTTGGAACAGTCTCCAAAGGCAGCACCAAGTGAACCGCACGACAGCAGTCTACCTAGGGCATTCCACAGGCATGGGTGGTCTTGTCTAGCATACTTTTACCCCACTCTTCCCCTACCCGCACAACACTCCCACATGGTAGGCAAGGCTGAGGGACAGCAACTGGCCCAAGGCCACCCAGTGAATTTCATGGAAGAATTTGAACCTCTTTGGTTTATTATTATTTATTTACTCTATTTATATCCCACCTTTCACCCCAATGGGGACACAAAGTGGCTTACACCATTCCCCTCCACTTCATCCTCTCAACAACCCTGTGAAGGTTGGTTAGGCCGAGAGCGTGTGGTTGGTTCGAGGTCGCTCAGCAATTTCCCAAGGGCACAAATGCAGATTTGAACCTGGATTTTCCAGATCCTAGTTCGACACTTATGAACATAAGAGCCCTGCTGTATCAGACCAGTGGTCCATCTAGTGCAACATCCTGTTTCGCATCGTGGCCAACAAGGCACAGAGGCTGAGGCTTCCCCCTGATGTTGCCTCCTGGCTCTGGGATACAGCTGCATTAGTTGCATCAGGCCCCAGTGAGCACGCTTGCTTCCCAAAGGCTTTTCCACATTTCTCATTTTCCTTGCTTGTGTGTTTCCTGGAGCTTTGGGGTTCTTTGCTGTTCTTTGCTCCCTCTGGTGGTCGATTCTATATTACACCATTGTATGTCCAGCATAAAAACCTGCAGCTTAAATCTACAGGGAGAGATGCTGGACAAAACACGATGTAACATCAAACCAACCACTATAGGGAGCAAAATATCAAATCGACCACTAGAGGAAACAGAAATGAACCCTGAAGCAACGGGGACACACAAGCGAGGAAAGTGAGATTAATTAAATTTATGAATAGCCCCATCCCTCCTAAAAACTGTCACTGTCCTCAACCAAAAGGCTGGTGGAATATGTCTGACTTGCATGTCCTGCAGAACTGCATAAGGTCCCGCAGAGCCTTGATGGAATTTGGCAGAGTTCCACCCGGTTGGGACCAGGACCAAAAAGGCCCTGAGGACAGCCGGACATCCTTAGGGCCAGGAATCACCAGCGTGTTGCCGTCCAAGGAGAGCAATGCCCTTCCAGGGACGTAACGGAGGAGACGGTCCCATAGATACATTGGTCCCTGACCGTTCAAGGCCTTATAGAATGCTCATGTTTCAACTCCAGTTCAGTCCCTTCACCGACAGCCTACCTCCCAGAGATATCGCAGCGATTACAAAGTCATGTAAGGTGCAATACTTTGGACTCTTGCCAGACCTATTAACACAAAAACACATGAACATGGGTAGAGGCCATGTCCGTAGGCAAACTTAGATTTATTTTCAACGGGGGCAGGGGGAGCGTTAACAGATCACACCACGATGCAAAAAACCCCCAACCCGGAACATGATGGAGATATTTTTTAAAAAACACACATGCACATGGCTCTAGTCGCACTAATTCCTCCCAAAATCTGTAATTGGCGCTTTTGCATCCTAATGTAAACAAGAGACATGGTTTGACGAATCATCGCTCTATTAAGACAATGGCTGAGGCAGTGATTGGAGTAGGCGACTTCTTAAAATGGAAGCAATCGGCCCAACCTTGGGAGAAGCAGAGCATGATGGGGTGGGGTTGGGGGGTAGGTGTTACGGTCACAAACAAGGATTTCCAAGGGGGAAGGCGAAAAGAGGGCAAAGCCAGAAGAATTCACACGGCTTTAAAGCAGAGTCGAAGGAAACGCCTCCAAGGAATCCCACCAAAGCTCTTTGGCCAACAGTTTCTCAAGTCTACCTGCTTCCCTTGGCTACAGACGTGCCTGGCAGCCAACAGAAGAGACCCTACCCCCCAAATCGGGGCAGAAGATTTGAGTCACCTTCACTGTAAACACGGATATACCACCGCCTCCAAAATATGGCAAAGGGCTGGCCGATTACGGATGGCAATGGGTTACCTAAGGGGTGCGGTCCAGTTCTCTCCAAAAGGCTGGAGATCTCACGTCTACCAAAATATGGCAAAGTGTTGGCCAATTAGAGGGGCAAACTGGTGAGCCGAGGGACGTATCCAGTTCTCCCAAAAGGCGACGGACCCACGTCGCGGCGGGTTACTCCGAGAACGACCACTCTCTCCCCTTCCCCCTTTCCAGAAGACGGCACTTCCAAGAAGTCACCGCGGGGAAGGAGAGAGAGAGAGAGAGAGTAAGACGGTTGCTGAGAGAGGGGTGAAGAAACCGCTCGGTTTGGTATCTGACAGCGGGGCAACGCATGCCATGGCTTAGCAGAAGGAACTGGACGGGGAGTGGTGGTGGTGGAGGGGAAACAGTTGGACTCCCAACCTTTCCTTGCTCAGAAAAATTATCCTGGCCGCCACCTCTGACCGCCGGCCACAATCCGTTCCCTACTGCAGAAAGCAGCGATTGAAGGGACAACCCCCCCCCCCCGCTTCCCCCCAGGGCACTCTTGGCAACCTAAAGGCATCGAAACAGCCACTCTTATAAGGCAAAACAGCAGCAGGAAAGCAGTTCTAAGAGAACGTGGCCACCCGGGCTGCCTTCAGACTTCAAAATGGCAGCACCCCCTAGGGACGGGGGGGCAAAATTGCACACACCACCAAAAAAAATATTAAGGACTCCAGGAACCCAGCGCTGCATTTGGAATGTTTTAAGAGCTCGTGGGAGTCCTGTAAACAAACCGGCTTTGGGGCATGAGGAGAGAGAGAGAGAGAGAGGCCCCGGAAAAATTATTTTCCAAAACAAGGAGTTCAAAGAGATTTTGGCTTCTAGCGTTAACAGGTACCGTCCTGTGAAATGTACAAAACCTTCTTGGGACAGGCACTATTCCTTTCCATGTTACATATATCCTGGGGGGAGGGTTGAAGGAATACAGAAATGCTTCCAGTATAAACCAAGCCAGGGGACAGAACGGTGCAAGAGATTCGAATCAGGTAAGGCACGATCACACCTGTCCTCGTCGGGCAGTCACAGTCTTCTCCTTCCTCCCATGCCTCCTGTTCCCAAGGGATAAGGAAGCCAGTTTTCACATTTGTGGTCTTCTCCAGTATCACCCGTCAATTGCACAACATTTTTTCCCCAAAGGGTATCGCGTTCGGATCAATGCAGACCCCACGAGAGAGAGAGATTCGGACTCTGGTTTCTTGGCAATGGCCAAAGTGGTAGGCAAGGATGTGGGCTGGCGGGAGTGGGCCAAGACTCTGGAAAGGCACGGCCCCATGTGTTTGGAGAGGAACCGACCCACGCTGCACTTGAGGCACAACGAGTTACCCATTAGAATGTGACCATTTTGCAAGACATGAAGTCAGCCTCCACCGTTTGTACCTTGGCGAAGAAAATCCGGGGGCAGGAAACCAAATCCGGGGCCAGGGGTTCTAGGGCCACTATACCAGCAGTCGGCTGGAAACGTATTCACCCCTTGTTTGGAAGACGCCCAGTGCAAAGAATGCTGATCCAGGATCACCGTGCAGTGCTTCTCGAAAGGCATCTGTATATCACGTGCTGAGGGTTCCAGCCCCACGGTGCCCTGCCTGTTGTGGTGGGCGCTAGAACCCGTTGTAGTTGCCAAGGGAAAACCGGGACCTGGGATACTAACAGCCACTTGGGGGGGGAGGGCGCGAGTCCACCATGAAAACATCCGGACCTGATCTCGTGTCTCAATCATTCCCTTGTGAAACAAGAATCCTCGCATGTGGGAAAATTAGCACCTCAGGATAGGCTGGAACTCTTCTTCCTAAGGTGCTAGCTTTCACCTTGCAGGAAGAGAGGTGTTTTTTAAAAAAATTAGAGGGGAAAGAACCACCCCTTGCAGTTCTTCCCCCTAGGCAATCTAACCCAGTACAATCCAAGAACCATTTTCATTGTGGGATCCTTGCTGTTTGTGTCGATTACGGGTTAGTAAATGGTTTGTCCTCTCCTAAGAACCAGTACAAGAGCTCAAAAGGTATTTGGAACGTAACAGAGTGAGCTAAGCCACAAAAGGGGCGGATCAGGAGAAGGAAGAGAGATTACATCTCCTCCCCGCGGAGGAACATGGCAGTGGACTGCTGATCTACGTAAACCAACTGGGCCTCTAGAGGTGGGGGTATGCGCCCCCCGCCGCGTATCCATTGGCAAAAGCAGGGAGGGCGGTGAGCAGAAACTGTGGGCCCTGTCCCCTGCCACAGAACTAGGCAAACATTGGCACCCACCGTCTGCTGGCCATTTCTTGGCCAAGAACATGGGACAAGAGTCGAAGAACTCGATCTCCTGCAATCGCTGAAAGGGGAAATGTAAAAAAAAAAAAATTGGGTGGGAAGGGTTGAAAAAAAAAATAGGAGAACGTAGATTATTCTACCTCAGCACCCACCCACCCCAAAGTACCAGCAACACATTTTTGGGATGACCCTGAATAATAAAGCATCTGGCGGTAGGTCAGCGCTAACGGCTCCGGGCGGGGTAGCTGGGGACAGTCGGGTACTCCGGGAGGCTGTTCCCCGAAAAGTTGTTGTACTGGGCTTCCCGAGTCGGCGGGTTCCTCCACAAGCCGCTGTGCCACTCTTCCTGGGCTTTCTGGAAACTGCCGCCTCCCCCACGGTAAAGCCGGTGGACCTGAGGGGGGGGAGAGAGAAAACGGGAGGGTGAAAACAGCCAGTTTGGTGTCGTGGTTAGCGGCACAGACACTAATCTGGGAGAACCGGGTTGGATTCCCCACTCCTCCACGTGCAGCTGCTGGTGTGACCTTGGGTCAGTCGCAAGTTCTCTCGGAGCTGTCCTCTCAGGAGCAGTCCTCGAAAGAGCTCTCTCAGCCCCTCCTACCTCACAGGGAGTCTGTTGCGGGGGGGGGAGGGAAAGGAGATTGTCAGCCGCTCTGAGACTCCTTCGGGTAGTGAAGGGCGGGGTACAAATCCAACCTCTTCTCTTCTTCTTCTTGTTACACTCTACTGCACCATCTGTCCCAAATGCCACTGAGTATATTTTGGCATTTGGAAGCCAGCAGACCTCAGTTCAGGGACTGCCAGAGTGGCATGGGACACGGGTGCCACAGAAACTCTGCCCCTAGAATGCAAGGGCTGACCCTTAGACACATCCTCGGGACTTGCTTGTTGGACTTGGTGGTGGTGGGAAGCTCTGTCGAGTCACGGCTGACCCAAGGCAACCCCGTAGGGTCCTCAACGCAAGAGTCATTCAGAGGGGGATTGCCACTGTTTGCCTCTGTGTCATAGCTCTGGGATTCCTTGGAGGGTTCCCATCCATGTACCAGCCAGGGTCGACCCTTGCTTCGCTTCCGTGATCTGAAGAGATCAGCCTTGCTTAGCCTAGGCTATCCAGGTAGAAGAAACCTACAGGGCAGTGGTGGCGAACCTATGGCACGGGGGCCAGAGGCGGCACTCAGAGCCCTCTCTGTGGGCACGCGTGCCATCGCCCCAGCCAGGCCCAGACCATCATTAAAGTGTCAAATTCTCTGCCAAATAATTTTAAGTCAACAAAAGCATTTGGGATGGCTTTCCTTACTTTGTTTGGATCATCTTAAGTTAACGTAGGAGTTGTTTTTTTCTAAAGTACAACCTCAGTATTCAGGTTCAATTGCCGTGTTGGCACCCTGCGATAAATACGTGGGTTTTGGGTCGCAGCTTGGGCACTCGGTCTCTAAAAGGTTCGCCGTCACTGCTATAGGGCTTAGAGCAGAGTGCAGGGGGTTGGACTAGATGACCTGCAAGGTCCCTTCCAACTCTAACATTCTATGATTCTATGAGAGCCAGGATATCTGAAGGACTGAAGCATACAGTGAACCCCAGCACCAAAGGCTGGCTGGAAGATCTGTCTAAAGGATTGACAGATATCCCCCTTTATTATTTATTTATTTATTTTATTTTGGGGTTTATATCCCGCCCCATCCAATATTCAGCTCGGGGCGGCTTACAAAGGTTAAAATATACATACAAACAACAGCATGATAAAACAATATATCTGACATAAAATTTGGTGCTAATTGATTTACATAAAACCCAAGATGGCCAACATCCACACATTGGCGGCAGGTTGTTTACAGCAGAGGCACCAGGAAGAATGTTCCCCCAGCTCTATTGGGCGACATCTACCCCTACTATATGGGGTAGATGGTTGGAAATATCATTGATGGAACAGTGGCGGCGGCGGCTCCCCCTCGAAAGCCTGGCGGAAGAGCTCCGTCTTGCAGGCCCTGCGGAACTGCACTAAGTCCCGCAGGGCCCGAGTCTCTTCCGGGAGCTCATTCCACCAGGTGGGAGCCGCCACCGAGAACGCCCTAGTCCTGGTTTGGGTCAACTTCACTTTCCGGGGGCCTGGAACCTCCAGGCGATGGAAATTCCCCGATCTCAGTGCTCTTGGGGGAATGTACGGGGAGAACAGGCTGAGAGCCCTTGCAAAGAACAGGCTGAGAGCCAGTTTGGTGTAGTGGTTAGGAACATAGACTCTAATCTGGGAGAACCAGGTTTGATTCCCCACTTCTCCACTTGCAGCTGCTGGTGTGACCTTGGGTCAGTCGCAAGTTCTCTCAGAGCTGTTCTCTCAGGAGCAGTCCTCGAAAGAGCTCTCTCCGCCCACCCCCCCCCCCCCCCCCCCCCCGGGGGGGGGGGGGGTCTGTTGTGGTGAGGGGAAGGGAAAGCAGATTGTAAGCCGCTCTGAGACTCCGAGTGAAGGGCGGAGTATAAATCCAATCTCTTCTTCTTCTTCCTGAACTGGGAATGACTAGATTTCCCCAGCTGCCCCCAAGAGACAACTGGCCGGACTTAAGGCTGGAGCTGTGACGTGCAGAGGCGCGGCAGGCAACCTCCTCACTAGACAAACACCCGGGAGCCTTTAAATTAATCTCATGCTGCACGCTAGCCAACTTGGGCACACTCTTTGGGACTTACCGCTGTAGGACTACCTAACAGGCGCCCGCCCCCTCATCATCCCTCCCCACTTACCCGAAGGAGACAGACGAACATCACAAGGGCGGACAGTGTAAACATCACGGCAGGAAAGAGCATGACCACACCAGCCCCGGCGCTGGTCCCGAAAAAAGTCACGGCTGCCAGCCACCCACTGGAAGAGAGTGCAACAGACAAGGAGAGATGCCTTAGTAACACGCAAGGGACCGCACGGGAGCCAGGTTGTATTCGCAGCTCGTTTTTGCTATTCTGCGAAATTTATTTGGAGTCTGATCCCACGTATTAACAGAATCTTCCTAACCACAGGGACTCGAAACCTTGAGCAAACCAAAAAGACACACAAGCTAAGATACAGGGGAGACACTTTCTTCGCCTAGGACCAAATCCGGTAGTTATTTTGGTGCTTCGGTGACAATGAGAAGGGTACTGCGGTATACGGTCCTGGGTGCGAATCCAGTCTCACCTTATAAACCAACAAGGTTTTCAGGGTATAAACCTCCGAAGAGAGCGTTAACTCTCAAACGCTCATACCTTCCAAATCTTGTTGGTCTCTGAGGTGCTACTGGATTCGAACCCAGCTCTTCCACTGTGGACTGGCAAGGCTACCCTCTGGAACGACAGTCCTGAGTGTTTGTGTTCTTTGAAATATTTTAGCTAAATGACAAACCCTTCATGGATGTATATATTCAAAGCAGCTTATGTTTGGCCCACCCCCTGAGAAAGCACTCATAATTTAGAAGTGAAAAGAGTATTTTACAAGCTTTGCTTTTCAGCTTGGGGGTGGGAAGAAAGGTTAACCAAACTTCCAATCCCAATAGTGAAAACAAAACACAACCAGCCGTCTGAATAGATAAAAACGTTTAAAAATCATGAAAACATCTGCTGAAACATAACCTAAGATGCAGCTTGTAAAAACACAAACATAGGAATAAAGAAACGGATCTTCAGCAGACGCGAGAACCAAGGACTGAAGCTGGCCACTAGGAACTCCTAAACTACAAGAAGGACTTCATCTGGTGCCAGGAAAGACAGATCCAATGTTCTGGTGCCACCACTAAGAATGCTCTGTTTTGAGGTGTGCACAATGAAATCTCTGAATACAATCTTTGGCCGGAAAAGTGTTATGGTGATCTCGCTCTCTTCCCTCACGTACAAGATTTTCCCTTTGTTCCTTCTTTCTTGCTGAGGAGCCCCTACATCTATTTTCTTCTTATTTGCTGGTCTATGGCTGTCCCACCCAGTCACGTTATGACATATATTTTGATGCTGGCCCAGCCCAGGGAACTGAGGGAAGGGACCAAATCACCTTCTTATATCCTGCTTCTGAAACGGCACACGAGAGGCTTTTGAAAGTTCCAAATAAACAAAATGTTTCATTTAATTTAGAGGAGAAAATGTCAGGTGGAATAAGGTGTGGGACGTATAAGGTGAACAGATCATAAAAACTGAGGTAACTTTGATTCACACTTTGTTGTTGTTGTTCAGTTGCACAGTCGAGTCCGACTCTTCGCAAAGAGTTTTCACACTAACCCCAGATAATTTGTTGCCAACCAGTACGAGTTTTAGCGTTTCCACAAGGTCTTTGAAACTTTGAGAGAGGCTTTCTTTTCAGTTTCTGCTTTAACTCGCAATGCATAGGTTTCTGATTTTCACTGAAACTTCACATTTAGAAGGCAGGAATGTACAACAATGTTCCCAAAATCCTTCTCTCTACACAGACCGGGGATCACTCCTGTTTAAAGAATTCTCCCTTTTCACTGGTCAGGGATTACTTCTCTTGACTAGAAGCTCTGTCCCTTTTCAGCTTGAATGGGAATCTTCTGTGATCCTTCCCAGTCCTCCGTGAGTGCTAAACTGTCTCTTCTTGAACTGTAAGTTCCCAATTGTCATTTCTTAACTGACACTCTCCACAGAATTCCATTTGAAGAAGCCTGTCACTCAAAGGTTCTCAGACTCTGTGAGGCACTAACAGAGGAGAAAGAGGAGGAGATTGGATTTATTCCCTGCCCTTCACTTGGAGTCTCAGAGCGGTTTACAAACTCCTTTCCTTTCCCCTCCCCACAACAGACACCCTGTGAGGGAGATGGGGCTGAGACAGCTCTTCCCAGAACTGTCCTTGAAAGAACAGCTCTGACAGAACTATGGCTTGCCTAAGGTCACCCAGCAGCTGCAAGTGGAGGAGTGGGGAATCAAACCCGGTTCTCCCAGATTAGAGTCCGCACTCTTAACCACTGCACCAAACTGGCTCTCTATAGTCCGTCACAGGTGTCAATACTATTTTCCGTTTACAAAATGACTGTATAAACTTTCCTTGATTAAAAAAAATTTTTTTTGAAGCCAAAGCAATAAAAGAATGGACCAGAAGTTTCCCCGCTTACCACGCTCCCCACCCACCGATCCCAATCGCTTGGATGACCGCCAGGATGAACTGCGCTCCGAAGATGAAGAAGAAAACCATGAAGTTGAAAGAGCTGTCCGACCTGGGGAGAAGGAGGAAGAGGAGAGGGACAAATTTAACCAGTGTGGTACAGCAGTTGAAGCGTCAGCCTGAGGGGAGACCTGAGTTTAGGTCTCCACTCTGCCTGGAAGCCCACCGGGCCACCTTAGGGCCAGGCCACGGTCTCTCAGCCTAGCCACCTGCAGGCTACCTTAGCAACCTTCAGGACTAAAAGGGGGTGGTGGGACCTGGAGACTGTTCCCTGTGCAAGATCACTATCCCATACCACATTTTGAAGACAGCATAATGAGTCGAGATTGTCACTGGGTAAGGGAGGCATAGTGTGTCCCGATAAGACAAATCAATAGTCATTGTGTGGCAGAACACACTGAGGACAGTTAGTGAGAGCCAGTTTGGCGTAGTGGTTAAGAGCGGTGGACTCTAATCTGGGGAAACCGGGTTTGATTCTCCACTTCTCCACATGCAGCTGCTGGTGTGACCTTGGGCCAGTTACAAGTTCTCTCAGAGCTGTTCTCTCGGGAGCAGTCCTCAAAAGAGCTCTCTCACCCCCACCTCGCAGGGTGTCTGTTGTGGGGAGGGGAAGGGAAAGGAGATTGGAAGCCGCTCTGAGACTCCTTCAGGTAGTGAAGGGCGGGGTATACATCCAATCTCTTCTTTTTCTTAGTGAACTCGGGGATCCGGTGAGCCTCAACTCAGAAATTCAGAGCAGAGGCGAGACCAGAGCAGCAACTCATCGAGAGGCACAATGACCCCCAACACTGGGACCCTTTGACCGGAGACACCAGGGACTGAACCCAAGACACTTCCACCAGTCAGGTAGTGAGCCACAAGGACCAGGGAACATGTCGATTACTTGCCTACTGCACCTCCGCGAGAGTCCCTGCTCCAAGCTCGCCACACCGGAGGAACAATCAGAAACGGGACACTAACGCTCCTTCCTACAGACCCTTTCGAGAAAGCGTTTTTAATTGAAAGAACTGAGGAGCACAGTGCTTCAGTCGTCTACCGACTCAGGATCCTGGCTCTCCCCCTTTGGCATCGCAGCACCGGGCTGATCCGAGTGGGAAGCAGATGAGGTACCTCCCCCCCACCCCACCCCGCGTCTCCACTGCTGGCTTGTCGTCATCAGCTCACATGCCTCTCGGGCTAAAGGGATGAGCTGACAGTAATCTGGCTTTGGGGAGAGATTATCAGGGGGAAAGAGCTCTCTGATGCCATGTTAGAAGAGCTCGGGGTCTACTAAAGGAAAAGCAAAAAAAAAATTAAAAATGGGGAGATTATTCCAGAAGGGAAAAGCCAGGCCAGAGGGGACAATCCCAGCCGGGGCTTGGTGGGGACCACACAGGAGCTCCCAGGAATACCAGAAAGGAAGTCCTCTCTCTGATCTCGTGTGCAGAGGACAGATTTGGCAAATCCCCAACACGCCGTTCCCAAAAGTGAACAGCGCGCTTCTAATGTTATTATATTTTATATTTGCGTCCCATGTTTCAGCCAAGACTGTGGCTCCGTCAAGGGATTTATGCCTCAAGTTTCTGGACCCGAACGATCATTTTAAAGAAATTAATGTGAACATTTATGTATTTATTTCATATTGATTGCCCACCCTGCAAGCGGGCTCTGGGCAATTTACAGCCTCATAAAACATTTTAAAAATACAATTAATGTATAATTAAGAGCAGAAGTCCATCCGTGGCCATTAGCCACAAGGTATAGATAGGAACGCTCAGGCTGGGGCAAGGGATCCTCTGTATTCTTGGTGCTTGGGGGGAGGGCAACAGTGGGAGGGCTTCTGGTGCCCTGGCCCCACTGCTGGACCTCCTGGTGGCACCTGGTATTTTTGGCCACCATGTGACAGAGTGTTGGACTGGATGGGCCATTGGCCTGATCCAACATTGGCTTCTCTTACGTTCTTAAGAACACCAACGGAAACAGTAAATTAAATCCATCCAAGATGGCAATGCAGTTCGTGCTGGTTGTCCACAGCGCTGTCCCTGCACGGCAGGGAAGGGTACGTGAGGGCCATAGCAGGGGTCATTTCCTGCGGGAGCGCACAGGAGCGGAGTTCCGGCAATAAGGAGCCCAGGGGGCGGGCACATGCAACAAGCCCCACCCCTGTTCCCAGCAGCCCTCCGTCGGGCCACAAGGAGCAAGACGCAGCCAGGTAAGTTGCAGAGCCCCCCCCACCCCCGGCCCACCTTCAGGTACAAGCTCTCCCTCCTCTGCGAGGACAGATCTGCGCGTCCCCCCCACTATAACTAGCAATCCAAAACAGTCCAGTGGAGCCTGAGCGGTGGGTGCTGCCTTCTGACACACCTCTGGTGATGTCAGGGGGTGTGGCATATGCAAATAAGTTATGCTAATGAGCTCCTGCACCTCTTTTTCTACAAAATGACCCCTGGGCCATAGAAAAGAAAGAGAGGGTGCCAGTCTCAACCACCCCATTGCTGCCCTCATCTAAAAGCCTGACAGAACATATCTGCCTTACAGTCCCTGCGGAACTGCATCAGATGTTATTTTGCAGATTCCACTAGGTCAGGGCCAGGACAGCTGGACCTCCCTAGGGCCGGGTATCACTGGCAAGTTGTTATCCACCAATCTCAGCGTTCTTCTGGGGACATATTGGAGGAGACGGTCCCAAAGATACAAGGATTTGGGGGGTATACGTTTCCAGATGTCAAAGCTCCCTCTGTCAGATACAAAACTGCACTGTCTCTCTGCATCCTAACTCCCTTTTTCACAACACCCCTCCCACCTTCTCACTGGGATATAAGGACAAAGGTCTTCATTCCTATTCGTATCTGATGAAGAGAGCTTTGACTCTCAAAAGCTTATACAAAGTGCTCCTGGACTCGAATCTTACTCTTCTACTGCCGACCAACATGGCTACCCTCCCGAAACTATCCTCAAGAATAGCAGCAGCTAGACAGCTGAATAGATTACAGAAGACGGGGACGTGCGTTCAACTCTGTTCATTTGTTTCAATTTAGTAAAGGTAAAGGTTTCCCTTGCTCGAAAGCTAGTCGAATCCAACTCTAGGGGGCGGTGCTCATCTCCGTTTCCAAGCTGAAGAGCCAGCGCTGTCCGAAGACATTTCCATGGTCATGTGGCTGGCGTGACTAAATGCCGAGGCGCACAGAACGCTGTTAAGTGGTACCTATTTATCTACTTGCAATTTCTTGCTTTTAAACTAGTAGGTTGACAGGAGCTGGGGGTGGAGATGGGAGCTGACTCCGTTATGCGGCACTCGGGTATCGAACTGCCAAACTACAGACCTTCTGGTCTGCAGCCCAGCGTCTTAACCTCTGAGCCACTGCGGTTCCCCCTTGTTTCAATTCAACTGGGGTCTAAATAACCCCATGTGTCCTTTTCATGGTTTTAAAAAAAGGACAGACAACGGGCTCACACAAGGCACTGGGGTCCAAAGAACATCAGCCTGGTAAAAGTATCCCCAAAGAGACAGGATAACTCCTTCATACGGATGCCGAAAATGGTGAGGTTTTTATTATTCATAACTCCCAAGAGATTTGAGGTAATGAAAAGAAATACGGAATGAGGACCCCAGATAGCTTCTGTGTACCCATGTTACAGAAAGGTGCGGCCAGCTTCCAGCTCTCAGGTTAGTGTCCAGAGAAAGGAGTACCTTTCAGATGGTTCTGCGGTCTGAACGTTTCATAAGTTTCTGATCGCACATTTGACAGAAACGGAGGAGGCCAGAACGAAACGGCTTCAGGACATCAGTCGAATATCGCCCGCAATAAATTATCCTCAAAGCAACACATTAGGGCCTACTGCCTTTTCAAATCGCTCGTTCGGGGTCTGATCGACCCCCGACGCCAGGCTAGTGAAGTTCTCTTGACAGTTGGGAAAAGGACAAGCTGTGTGGATTTTCAACAGGAGGGGGTGAAAGAGAATCAGCACTTACCGAAAAGCTTTGTAGATGGGCCGAAACCAGCAGACGTAACTGCAGGGGCTGAAAAGGACCAGCCAGAGGATGGCCAAACCAAAATTCACACCGGAACCGCCACCGATCCACCAGGCCAGGCAAGCAATGAGATTAACACCCAACGTAACGGAGTAGACTGTGGAGGGAAAGGAGGAGGGTCTGAAGGTGGGCAGCTCAAGGCCGGCTGAGGCCTTCTCGGAGTGACACGGCTCCCATGCTCTGTGGAGGGGCCGTACCTCAGTGTGGTGGAATGTGTGGGCTCATAATAGTGGCACCAAATGTGACTCCAACATCCCCATTTTGAGAGGCCGAGGTTCTTAGAAAGCAAGCGGAAGAGGCGTAAAGACCCCCCCTCAGCCTCTTCTGTGACAACTGATTTCTGGCTAGATGCCCCCAGGAAACCCACACAGAGCTCTCCCCTCTTGTCACCAGCATCTGGTGTTCAGTTTGGTGTAGTAGTTAGGAGCACAGACTCTAATCTGGGATAACTGGTTGGATTCTCCACTCCTCCACTCGCAGCTGCTGGTGTGACCTTAGGTCAGTCACAAGTTATTTCAGAGCTGTTCTCTCATGAACAGTCCTCGAAGAGCTCTCTCAGCCCCACCTGCCTCACAGGAAGAAGAAGAGATTGGATTTATACCCCGCCCTTCACTACCCGAAAGAGTCTCAGAGTGGCTTACAATCTCCTTTCCCTTCCCCTCCCCACAACATACACCTTGTGAGGTAGGTGGGGCTGAGAGAGATCTCTCGAAAACTGCCCTTGAGAGAACAGCTCTGAAAGAACATATGACTGACCCAAGGTCACACCAGCAGCTGCAAGTGGAGGAGTGGGGTGTCAGTTGTGGGGAGGGGAAGGGAAAGGAGACTGGATTTACACTCCAGCCTTCACTACCCAAAGGAGTCTCAGGGCGGCTTACAAATCCAATCTCTTCTTCTTCTAGGATACACTGCCTCTGACCATGGAGGTTCTACTGAGCTAGCAGGGCTATTTCCCCCCATCTAATTCTTACTCAGAACCACTCAACATATGGCCATCGGTTCCCACATTTTGTTCCATAGGTTCCCACCTTTTGCTCCACAGGTTAACTATGCACTGGATGGAATCCGTGCAGTCTTTAGTTCTAGGAGGCCTTCAAAGGCAAACGTTAGACTTAGGGATGTGTGCGACTGATACAATTCTGCACCCAGAAAATCCAAGTTTAACCACTTACATTAAGTTTATATTAATTTAAAACAAAAACATTATGTTCCCCCTCCAGGGAACCCGCCCAAGGCAGTTTACAAAATAAAGCACAACACAAGCTTACAACAGTGCAGTTTTTATCACTTTCAAGATCAAAGACAAAAAGGAAAAGATTGACTCCGTCATAAAAGCTAAAGAGTTCTTAAAAGATCAACTGGGAAGATCAGAGGACAGCAAGTCCAGTGGCAAGAAGGGGGCGGCGTCTCCAAAAAGCTCTTATAAGCTCCGAAAAAGACGATAAAAAGAGAACTAGAGGCTGAAGGACTCTGTATGGTGCCTCGGGAAAGATGAAAATAGAAGATTTGGGGATGTTGTCTTCAGACAGTGAATTGTAAAAGCTAGAAAAAGAAAATGTATTGATAATGATTGACTCAGTTTATGTTATGTTTAAACGAAGGAAAGTTTCATTGTGAATAAGCTATTGATGATCTCCTCTCTTGGGTTTTTAGGTAGTTGTGGGTATCTTTACTTTATCCTGTATATGTAGTTCCCCTTCCTGTTTTTCTGTAGTAGTTTTTTGTAGTTTTGAAAAATAATAAAAAACTCCCCTCTGGGGGCTTAAAAAAAAACAACAGTGCAGTTTTTAAAACCTGGCATTCAAAACACAACATAAAACATGAATCAGGGTGCAACCGACGCAGATCTTTCGGCACTGGGGTGAAAACAATCCCTGTATCCCATCTTGACAGCACTTTGGACTGTTTCCAAGGGCAGCCCCATGTCAAGTCCATTACGGTAGTCTAACTTGGATGTAAACAAAGCGTGGACCACCGTGCCCAAGGTCATCCAGCAGCTGCAAGTGAAGGAGTGGGGAATGAAACCCGGTTCTCCCAGATTAGAGTCCGCACACTTAACCACGACACCAAGCTGGCATTTCACAGCACTTCTATAGGATTCTAACGAGAAGATTGCTTCTCGGACTCTGTGCCTTCTCTCTCTCCCTCCACACAAACTTCTTAGCTCCTTGGCCACAAGGGCGGTACTTGTTTAGGTCAGCGGGGTCCAGGTACTTTCTTCAGCAGGGGCCTCATGGACAGCCGCTCGCTCTCAAGGTGCTGGGAACCACAGACTCCCACAGAGAGGCACTAATTACACCCCAGACTCACTCGCCCCGCCCAGCTTGTCTACAGGCTGCACATGGACAGCTTGCCCAGTTCATCAGGCCTCACCCGCTGAAAGCCACCACTACATAACAAGGAACAGACTGTGCTCCGCTGGCATCCCGAGACTGAACTGCAGGACCGGGTTAACTGCGGGACCATCTTCGCCCATATGTCCCTGCCTGGGAATTAAGCCACAGGGAGACGACCTCCTGACTGCCCCATCAATCAAAGAAGCTTGTTTGGTTAGGTACACGACACAGGGCCAGGAGTCAACATCGGAGGAAGGCCACGGCCTCTCTGCCCTGCTGTTGGCCCTCCAGAGGAACTGGTTGGCCACTGTGTGAGACGGGATGCTGGACTAGAGGGACCACTGGTCTGATCCAGCAGGGCTCTTCTGAGGTTCTTATGAAGGCCTCGGCCTCTCTGCCCTGTTGTCGGCCCTCCAGAGGAACTGGGTGGCCGAAGTGTCAGACTGGATGCTGGACTAGAGGGACCACTGGTCTGATCCAGCAGGGCTCTTCTGATGTTCTTATCAGGGAAGGCCTTGGCCTCCATGCCCTGATGTGGGCCCTCCAAAAGGAACTGGTTGACCACTGTGTGAGACGGGATGCTGGACTAGATGGACCACTGGTCTGAGCCAGCAGGGCTCTTCTTATGAAGGCCTCGGCCTCTATGCCCTGTTGTTGGCTCTCCAGAGGAACTGGTTGGCCACTGTGTGAGATGGGATGCTGGACTAGAGGGACCACTGGTCTGATCCAGCAGGGCTCTTCTGATGTTCTTAAACTTACTCATTTTAAAAGAGAGCGAGAGCTGGTGTCTCTTCCCCCAATGTATATACACAGAGCCCTGTCTGAATACTGAATACACGGCATTCTCTGGCCAGGCTCCACTTGCCTATGCACACACACACACACACACGCCCCGCCAAAGCAGCTGTATCTTGAACTTACAGATCCACAAATGATAGATCCTCCTCACCAGTGTCTGGTGATCGATTGGAATCTCGTCAGCAAAGTTCTGGTAGAAGCACGGCTTCAGGGGGATGAATTTAGGGAGCGGTGGGAAGTTGTTCACCTTTTCTGCAGAGGGAAAGAAGCCGAGACGGAGAGGAAGAGAGTGGCACGTGTAAAAGGGTGCTTTGTGCTGGCAGAACTCAACGGGGGGGGGGGGGGGCCCCCCAAACGGGAACGGGGGACCCCCCCCCCCCTCGAGGGCACCCACCCCCCAGACCGGAAAAATTCGGGAAAAAACTGGTTTTTTTCCCGGTTTTTCCCTGAAGCCTTTTTGGTTTTTTGGAAAAATTGCAAAAAAGAAAAGAAAAAAAATTGATTATGGAACGTTTTATGTTAACATGATGTATAAAATATTTTAAGACAGGGTGTTCAAATATTTTCCAAATCATTTCTAAAATATATGGTATCAGATTGATCTAATTTCTGTGCACTGAGGACAAGCAAGTCCTAGGTTACAAACTGAACTCTCCAATGCAAGAACAAGATGCATTTCTTCCGTTAGGAGGTGCGATTGTCAGAAGAAAATAAAAAAGTTTCAGTTTTGTTTTTGCGTGTGGGTGGGTATTCTGTTTGTAATAATTGTTTGGATACACTATATTTTTAATATGCTAGTTGTGATAATTTCATGCCAAGTAAAAATGTCTATAGTCATATTTTATGTTCCTAAAGTTACAGAATGACTTTCAAGCTAGAAAAGACAAAAGAAATGCTAATGTAGCATTTTTTCCAATTTTCCCGAAAATTTCCATTTTTTCCCGAAAAAACCCCAGGAAAAAACGGGTTTTTTCCCGGGCTTCAAAATTTCCGGAAATTTTACATGTCTAGCCAGGCGCAACCACAAAATGGCTGCCACAGCTTAACTTCAGTCACACAGGGCAGATCCTTGTGCTGTGGTGGCGGCTGCTACCAAAGCGATGTTTTTCTAAAAATCGGCACAGCCAATCAAATCTCCAATGGCCAATCAGAAGCCAGGCTGGGCAAGAGCCCTACCTGGCCCCACCCACTCCCCAAAAACACTCAGCGGGCACCCTGGTGCCCGTGCAGCAGATGTCGGTTTTGCTGTCACTCATGGGTATGCGACAGTCGGTCAATCTAAAGACGCTACACTAGGGCTGCGGATCACACATGCTAAACAATCCACTTTCAATCCACTTTAAAACAGGATTTTACTGTGTGTGAACTGGCAAAGTCCAGTTTGAAAGTGGATAATTCAGTGTGTGTTATCACAGCCAAGGATGAGCAATGCTAGGCTGTGGCGTCTTGTGAGCAAAAATTCTGCTTTGTGAGCAACCAGCATTAAAGTTATGAGCATGCAATTTGGCTGCCGCATAAGTTAGTTTGCTGCGGAGCCACCCTTCCTGAGCTAAGACAAAAATGTGTGAGCTGCAAGCTAAAAAACTGTGAACTGGCTCACACTCACTCAGCTTAGAGGGAACACTGATGATGAGGGGTTTTTTTAAAGGGGGGGTTCTTTCGGGGCTGCCTTCAATGTCAGGCTGCTCTGGCCTCATTACCTGCCATTTCTTCTGTAGAATCCACTCACAGGCGGGGTTTTTTCCTTATGCAGGACCTAGGAAAAGGAAGAGAGAAAAATTTGCAAGGAACAAGCAAAGCTGGGGTGAGTTGCCAGCTTAGGGGGCAGACCAACAAGTTTGGGCCAGAAAGGATGCCTGGAGAAAAGGGGGGGGTTTCCCCTCCCCCTTAACATGATTGACAGCCGGCAGCCCTTGTGCCAAATCTGGCCCCTAGAGGAGAAAATCTAAAAAAATAAAAATAGAAACCAGCAACCTTTATTTATTTAATTCATTTATACCCTGCCTTTCTCCGCAAAGGGGACCCAAAGCGGCTTCCACCATCATTCTCCTCTTCTCCATTTTATCCTCGCAACAACCCTGTGAGGTAGGTTAGGCCGAGGGTGTGACTGCCCCAAAGTCACCCCAGCTAGCTTCCATGGCACAAGCGGGGATTCGAGCCTGGGTTCTTTTAGATACTAGTCCGACTCTCTTAACCAAGACGCCACATTTCATATTGTTCAGTGATTCAAAGGACCTTTCCCTCCTCCTCCCCCCTTCAAGCCCCAGCCTTTCTTGTGACTCCTTCGATACCACTCCAGCCCTAAATGTAGCCTAAGCAGTGATCGATAGTCCTCCTTCCCTTCTGTCAAATCTTAGATTGCAATCTCCTTGGGGCAGAGACTGAGAGCCAGTTCAGTGTAGTGGTTAGGAGTGCGGACTCTAATCTGGGAGACCCGGGTTCGATTCCCCACGCCTCCACATGCAGCTGCTGGTGTGACCTTGGGCAAGCCACAGTTCTCTCAAGAGCAGTCCTCGAGAGAGCTCTCTCAGCCCCACCTAGAGATGTGAAAACCCAAGAAAAAAACGGAAAAATTTGGGGAAAAACCAGTTTTTTTCCCGTTCTTTCCCTGAAGCCTTGTTTTTTTCTGAAAAATTGGAAAAATTGAAAAAAGAAAAGAAAAGAAAAGAAATTGATTATGGAACGTTTTATTTTAACATGATGAATAAAATATTTTAAGACAAGGTGTTCAAATATTTTCCAAATCATTTCTAAAATATATATATATGGTATCAGATTGAAGCAAGTCCTAGGTTACAAACTGAACTCTCCAATGCAAGAACAAGATGCATTTCTTCCTTTAGGAGGTGCTATTGTCACGAGAAAAGAAAAAGGTTTCAGTTTTGTTTTTGCATGTGGGCGGGTATTCTGTTTGTAATAACTGTTTGGATACACTATATATTTAATATGCGAGTTGTGATAATTTCATGCCAAGTAAAAATGTCCATAGTCATATTTTATGTTCTTAAAGTAACAAAATGACTTTCAATCTAGCCCCACCTACCTCACAGGGTGTCTGTAGTGGGGAGGGGAAGGGGAAGGAGATGGTAAGACACTCTGAGACTCCAAGTGAAGGGTGGGGTATAAATTCCTCCTCCTGATTTGGGAGGGGAACCCTTCTGTCGCCTGGTAAAAACCCCATATAGATTGAGGATAGCAGACAATACTAAGTTGATGCAGAAGAAGAGATCCTCCATTTCGGGGGCTGCATCAAGCCCGAGGCCCCCACCCCCCCGCCCCCGGTAGATTTCTACAGCAGCTCATGCGACCCACGCGATCTGTCCCCGCAATAGCGGCCGTAGCCTTCCACTCCAACAAACAGACAAGAGACTTCTTGTGCCATTCCAAGGAAACCTCCCCCCCCCCAAGCCCCAAACGCAGGAAGAGACAAAGAGGCAACTGTGCATTCTCAACACCAGCCTGGTTGGCCAAGAAATCTGACCAGAGATTGACAGAGCGGGGATGGGAGATGCAGTCCTTGGAGATAAAAAAAAAAAAAAGGACACGGACAGAGCAGTGTGCATATTCTGTGCTGGCGTTCAAGAGCACAAATCCAACCACGCACACATGCCGCCCCCAACTCCTGACAAACGTCTAGCCCACAAAGCTGTGACGGCCTTCTCCCCCTGTAGCACACCTGACAGAGATTCGTGCAAACGTCACACCCTCACCTGCCCTGATCTGTGTGTGCACCTCCCTGTTAACTTATGAACATGCCCCGCTGTTTCTGAGCACAAGCAAAACAGGGATTTACAGGGGAGAGGGTGTGGGAAGTGGAGACCAAAAGCAGGAATAGGTACAACCTGATGTGTGTGTACGCATGCGGAATCTTGAGAGTGACTTGTGACTGCAGGGAACACATACAAAGCAGTCCTTGCTTTTATGGGTGGGGGGAGTTTATTGCACCCCGACCTGAACAGGCTAGCCCAATCCCATCAGATTTCAGAAGCTTAGTGGGGTCAGTCCGAGTTAGCCCTTGGATGGGAGACCACCGAGGAAGACCAGAGTCACAAAGCAGACGCAGGCGATGGCCAACCACCTCTGAATGTCTCTTGCTTTGAAAACCCTACGGGGGAACCATAAGGTTGGCTGGGACTTAAGGGATCTTTCTGCCCCCACTCTGAGCTTAAAATCCAAAATGCAACTCAGAGAAGCAGGACAGAGAGACTACTGATATCGGAGGCGGTATACAGGGGAAGGAAATACATTCCAGGTTTAATTTCACCAGACAAAGGGTTGTGGGAAAGGCTTCATGTGAAAGGGGTTTTGAAGAAGACGAACAGTAGGTTTTATACCCCGCTTGTGTCTACTTTGAGGAGTCTCAAGGCAACTGACAATCGCCTTCCCTTCCTCTCCCCACAACAGGCACCTTGTGAGGTAGGTGGGGCTGAGAGAGTCCTGAGGGAACCGTGACTGGCCCCAAGGTCACCCCGCTGGCTGCATGCGGAGGAGGAGTGGGGAATCAAACCTGGCTCTCCAGATCAGCGCCTGCCCCTCTTAACCAGGACACCAGGCCGGCTCTCAGGAAGACAGAGAGGGGTGTGTGTGTCCATTTGAGACCTAGGATGCCTTAAGGCATAAGTTTAAACCGGATACGTCAAGGATGGCAGGCAGGCACAGGGAATCAAGGAGGAGTATTCCACGCAAACGAGAAAATCAAAGGATGGGGTGGCTAGAAAAAACACACCCACCCACCAACGCAATCCGGTGGGGGCTTTCCTGCAAAGTGTTGGGAGAGGAACATCCATGCCAGGCGACGGTAAACAAAGAGGATGCCCCACACATTCCCCCCCCCCCAAATCACAGTAAGAGGCTTACTTACGGCCGTGCAAAAGCCGGTGTGAAGTAAACAGCCAGAGTCCGAATTAACACATCTCTTCTCTACGCAGACCGCTTCAGCAAAACCATGCCTGCCAACACAGCCAAAGCCAGTTTCTTCACTGGGAGGAAACACAGATCCCTCTGTTCTCCCCCCCCCCCCCCCCCCCCCAGCCAGTCAGAGCACAGAGGTCATTTGCACATGTGGCCTGATTCACCTTTGCCTCAGAACACAGAGGTCATTTGCATATGCGGCCTCACTGGCCTTTCCCTCTAACATTTTAAACAGTTTGCTGTTGATGTTCTGAGGTAAAATAAATTTCCCTTTAGTGTCTGTTGGGGGAAACCATGGTTGCAAATCTCCAGGTGAGGGCTAAAGATCACTCAGAATTACAACTGGTTTCCATCTCCCTGGCCCCAGGCAGGCAGGGGTGGGGAGAGGCGGGGAGGAAGCAACTTACCCTCCCTCTTCTCCTGCCTCCTCCTGGCTGAATGAGGGCCGGAAGCGGGGCGGCCGGAAGCAGGGGGCGGGGCTTCGTCATGTGCCCCGCCCCCTGCACCTCACCCGGGGGAACCGCGTTCCCCCCCCCCAAATGACCTCTGCTCCCCACACAGATTGCTCTCATTTCCTGCTTGCTTCCAACTGTTGCTTTGTTTCCTGCATCCTTGCATTATCACCGGGACACACGCAACCCTGCTTCACAGCTCAAGAGGGAACATCTCTGGAACAGCAAAGGACCCCCCCCCCAAGCTTCTAAGGGGATACTGCATCTTTAAATTTCCCCCAAGTATGGGGGGGGCTGCTTTTCTTTTTAAAATTTTACACCCCCTGCATCAGGCAGCTGTTACAAAGGGCCTCCCAAAAAAAAGAAAGGGCTCAGTGTGTCCTCTCTCTCCCACCGCCCTTTGCGTTCCTTCGTGCCCATGGATTTGCATGGTCACCACCGGCGAGCAGGGTATGATCCTAGGCAGCCACACCCAATTCGCCACAGAACGCCCAGGAGGTCCAACCCTTTAAACCAGGGGTGTCAAACATGCAGCCCAGGGGCCAGATCAGGCCCCTAGAGGGTTTCTATCAGGCCCGCAGTGGAACTGGCTGTCTTCTGCTTCTTCCAGTTCTGCTGCTGCTGCATCATCGTAGGTTTGCACCTTACAGATACACACCTGAACTGCATACTCAAGACTCGAACAGCACAGACATTTCGATGGAATAATTCAGAGCAAGAGGTGTCAGTTATCAGACACTGTTAAGTAAACAAAATATTGCAAGAGTGCTAATGCTTTAAGCATGTTTTTATTTTAAGTAAAAGAAACCCTTTGCGTTTGTGTCCTTTATAAAGTTTATATCTCCGCTAGCTGGCATTACATCTTATGACACACATGGCCGGGCCCAACAAGGTCTCATTTATGTCAAATGTGGCCTTCATAACAAATGAGTTCGACACCCCTCCTTTAAACGGTCAGGGCCAACTGACCTCTCATGAAGCTGTTGAGCCAGAACTTTGGCTTTTTGTTTTGTTTTGCTAAACAAGTTTGCGGTTTGCCTGTTTTTGGGTGGGTATTAAAAGTCGGATAAACAGAATCAGTTTTGCAGGATCCACTTGGGAAGAGTTCAGTTTTGTGGCACCTTCGAGATTAAAGAAGGAAATGAAAGGCAGCTCAGGAAACAGACAATCGTACACCCAGTGTTCTTGTTGTTGTTATTAAGTGCAAAGGCCTTTTGTTTTGTTGCATGTTATTTGGAACCTTTGCATCAACACTGGAAGTCCACTTTGCATCTGGTCATTTCTCTTTTGGAGTTACAGGTTCAAAAATAACAATAAAACCCACATTTCTCTTTATTTTTCTGTTCATTTTGTTCCAGAATCCCAGCAAAACTGGATTTTTCAATTGTCGCATCTAAAGTCGAAGATTAGAGAATGGACCCCCAATGAATCCCCCCAGTTCATGTGTAAATAGAGGAATGAATATTATTTGCAGCCCCCCCTCGCCCATGAAACAGTTGACTGAACAAACCATTTTAGCATTAGAACAAAAAATGACACACTAATCACCATATAGCTTGACACTCATTTTAAAAAGGCAGTATTCGTTAACTTGGCAAAGATATAGCTCAGGTGCTTGTCTATGTTACGGGAGATTTCTATCAACAGAAGCTATTCACAAAACTGTGGCTTTTAGTCTAGAATAACCTTATAGGGAAAAAAATAAAAGCAATGCAAAAATAAAAAGGAGCTGTTTCCAAAGGCAGTGGCACTACATTTGCTGGGAGCCTAATCATTTGTGTTTGAAGAAGCTTCCAGTTTTGACAGGTCACAAAAGCCGGGGCCTTCCGGTAGGGTTATCGTATTTTGAAAAAGCAAAAAAGGACATTATTGCCTGCCTGTCTACTTTCAAACAAGTGATCACTAGGACAAATCTCATTTTAAATGCCCCTCCTATTTAAGCTGCAATAATTGCTACTAACAAGGAATATTCCTAACCTTCCAACCCAAAAAAGAGAGGACATTTTCATCAAAGTGCTCAAAAGAAGACCGGCACACACAAAAAAGGACATCTGGTAACCCTAATTCCAGAAAAATATCTGATCACAGCCGAACAACAGGTAGCCAACCAACAATATCTGGGCAATATCTGGGCACACCCAACCCTAGTTTTTAATTAAGTTGTTTTCACACACACTCAATATTGCATCCCTTCTCAATGTACTTTGCAACTGAATTTTGCTGCGTGAAAGGGCAAAATCCACTTGCAAACAATTGCTGGATTGGACGGAGAGTGCATTATTCAGCGTGAGCAAAAGCAATAGTAAAGCTACAGTTAAAGACGTAAGCATTCCCCCCCCACCCTATTCACAGGCCAGTCTTCAAATTACAGTTTAAAAGGTCCCTTAATAAACCAACTCCACCTCCTGGGCAGGGGCTGTGGCCCAGTGGCAGAGCATCTGCTTGGCATGCAGGAGGTCCCAGGTTCAATCCCCAGCATTTCCAGTTAAAAGGACCAGGCGGTTGGTAATGTAAAAGACCTCTGCTTGAGACCCTGGAAAGCAGCTACCAGTCTGCGTAGACAATACTGACCTTGATGGAGCCAAGGGTCCGATTCAGTGTAGAAGGCAGCTTCATGTGTGTTCATATGCGTATGTGTTGCCTACACTCACAAGTCACTCAAAATAATTCCACATGCACGCACCAATGGGTACCCATTCGTGCCTTTGGTCTCTTCCTTGTAAATCCCTATTTTGCCTGTGCTCAAAGACAGAGGGCCATGTTCCTAACCGTTCCTAAGTTAGAGGCAGGCACGCACACAAATTCCTACAGCTTTTCACTCCACTCCTTCACATCTCTAGGAGACTACAGTCAAACACTCGTGCACAGGAAACCTTGCACATGGATGCAAAATACAGCACCGATCTTCCTTTCCAAAGCCATCTTCACCTCCCCCTGCTCGAAGCTAGCCAACAGATTGAACAATAAATTGTACACATTTCAGAGCCGAGGATGCTCTGGTCCAATGCTCCCTCTAAGCTGTGGAATCCTGTGAGCAGGTACTGGCATTAAAGTTGTGAGCAGGTGATTTGGCTGCTGCATAAATTAGTCTGCTCTGGAGCCCTCCTTCCTGAGCTGAGACAAAAATATGTCAGCCGAAGGCTAAAAAATGTGAGCTAGTTAACACCAACTCAGCTTAAACATTGCTCCGATCAGCTTCAAAACGTGCCACTACATCAGTACCGTCCTGAGGATAATGATTACTACTAGTAGTGTTGATTAAGGTGGGTAGTTGAGTCCAATGCTCCCTCTAAGCTGTAGAGTCTTGTGAGCAAAAATTCTACTTTGTGAGCTACGGCCATTAAAGTTGTGAGCGAGCAATCTGGCTCCTGCATAAATTAGTCTGCTCTGGAGCCATCCTTCCTGAGCTAAGGCAAAAGTGTGTGAGCCGGAGGCTAAAAAACTGTGAGCTTGCTCACACTAACTCAGCTTAGAGGGAACACTGGTCGTGTCCAATGCTCTCTCTAAGCTGTGGAGCCTTGTGAGCAAAAATTCCACTTTCTGAGCCACTGGCATTAAAGTTGTGAGCGAGCGATTGGGCTGCTGCATCAATCAGTTTGCTCTGGGGGCCATCCTTCCTGAGCGGAGGCAAAAATGTGTGAGCCGGGGGCTAAAAAACTGTGAGCTAGCTCACACCAACTCAGCTTAGAGGAAACATTGCTCCGATCAGCTTCAAAACTTGCCAAGCCCCAGAAAGCAGCATTGCAGAAAGGAGACTTCGCTCTGGCAGGAAGAGTTGGCCAGTGGGGTGTGTGTGTGTGTTGAGACTGAAAACCAGAGGGTGGTGCACACCCAAGCACTGCACCTGAGCACTCTTCGGTTGCTGGCGGGGGTGCAGCATTGGTTCTGGCCTGAGACCCTCTTCACCTCGCACCCCTTCCCCTCTCGGCCCCTCTTCTTCCTCACGTGCAAAGGGAGGAGGCGAAAGCAAAGCGAACAGACTTTTCCGGGGCAGTTGGCTGAGCCCAACGGCCGAGAGAACCAAGGCGCCCGCAGTTCCAAGCGCCCCCTCGGGCACGTCACGCTTCTCGACCCCCTCGGCCACGCAAGAGGCGATCGGACCGGCCTCCTCCACAGGGCTGTTGTAAGGGCAGGGCCGAAAGACCAGACACCGAGGAGCCGGAAGAATCCCAGGCTGCCCGACGGGAAATGCAATGCAAAGCAAGTCAGCAGACAGCACAGCTCAAAAATCACCGACGCCACTTGGAGATGAAGAATATATAACGTAGTGTAGCATCCTAATCATGCATTAGCTATCTAGCCTGATAATGCAATATCTTATCTACTCTACAGCACTGTCAGCATGCGGGCATTAAAGCCAAATTCACACTCACCACACCTCCCTTTGCACGCTCCTTGCACGAACAACTCTGCTCGGGCGTGCAAAGCCTCTCCTTGTATTAAGTGCTTGTGCAAGCCCCGCCCCCCTGTCAGCCAATCAGCTGCCTCCCTGGCCTAACGGGCCGAGAGGGAACCCTCCCCCGCGATACGGCTCAACCTACCCCCACACCGGGCTTTGCTTTTATTTTTCCGCCGACGCCGCTCCCAGCGCCCGCGACACCCGCCGCTGTCCTTCGCTCTCGCCGAAGCCCGGACCGACGGCCGCCCTGCGCCATGGAAGTTGTAGTTCGTTGGAAGGAGCTACCCGTAGGCTACAATGGGGACGAGGACTACGACTCCCGGCGTGCTCCGGGACAGGGCGTGTTTAGAGTCGACTGACAGTCATATGATTGCGTGTTAACGAAGGTGTGGCGGGTCGGAGGGCCGATAGTCGGAGCGGAGGCCACGGTGGCCTGCTTGGGTCAAAAAACAACGACAAAAACGCTAGTGGGGGGGGGGATCGAATCATAGAGTTGGAAGGGATCTCCAGGTTCATCTAGTCCAACCCCCTGCACAATGCTTCAGATGTCAAGGGGCGCCCCCCCCCCCCCCGGTAGAAATAAGCAGATTTTACGAAATGTTAATGGAAAATGTAGCTCGTTGGAAGGAATCCCCCGTGGGCCACTACATCAGTACCGTCCTGAGGATAATGATTACTACTAGTAGTAGTGTTGATTAAGGTGGGTAGTTGTGTCCAATGCTCCCTCTAAGCTGTGGAGCCTTGTGAGCAAAAATTCCACTTTGTGAGCCACTGGCATTAAAGTTGTGAGCGAGCGACTTCGCTGCTGCATCAATCAGTTTGCTCTGGGGCCATCCTTCCTGAGCGGAGACAAAAATGTGTGAGCCGGAGGCTAAAAAACTGTGAGCTAGCTCACACTCACTCAGCTTAGAGGGAACACTGGTTGTGTCCGATGTTGATGGAAACCATCGTTTTCCACCGTTCTCGCAACCGTATATATGTAACCCATATTGCATTTAGGTTGGACTGATAAAACAGCTCCAAAATTTTCAAAGAACTCTATTGCTTCACTGAGAAGGACTGACTCAGAGGGGGAATTTGCTGGGTGAGCCGGAGGCTAAAAACCTGTGAGCTAGCTCACACTAACTCCGCTTAGAGGGAACACTGCCTGTGAGGTAGGTGGAACTGAGAGAGCTCTTTCGAGAACAGCTCTGAGAGAACTTGTGACTGACCCAAGGTCACACCAGCAAGCTGCATGTGGAGGAGTGGGGAATCAAACCCGGTTTTCCCAGATTAGAGTCTGCGCTCCTAACCACTACACCAAACTGGCTCTTTATCAACGTCATGTTAGTACTTACGCTTTGCTTCTCCTCTGGTCGCTTCCAGAGTTCTACAAGTCAAATCCTACTGCAGTGTCTGTTGGAAGTCCCACCTTGTTCATTGAATTGATTTCTCCACCTTGAGCCCCAGTGAGAAAAACAGACTATATAAGTAACGGAAATAAGTGAATGACTCCCACCCCGTATCTACCAGTTTCCATCTGCCCTGTGATAGTACATTCGTCAAACATACCACCCCACATAAAAGCCACCAGCGCTGTAGCAAAGAAGACCCATAGTTGGTACGCCACTATTTGCTTGTTTTGTTTATACACTGCTCTTTCCCCTTTTGGGACCCAAAGGAGCTTACATAATTCTCCTCCATTTTATTCTCACAACAACCCTGTGAGGTAGGTTAGGCTGAGCGAGTACATCTTCGGGTACTTGAAGGGCTGTCATATAGAGGATGGTTGGTGTGGAGGTGTTTTCTGTTGTCCCAGAAGGTCGAACCAGAACCAGTGGGATGAAATTAAATCAGAAGAGTTTTTAGCTAAACTTTAGGAAGAACTTCCTGACAGAGTGGTTCCTCAGTGGAACAGGCTTCCTTGGGAGGTGGTGGGCTCTCCTTCTTTGGAGGTTTTTAAAACAGAGGCTAGATGGCCATCTGAAAGCATTGCAGATTCTGTGAACTTCGGCAGATCATGAGAGGGAGGGCAGGAAGGGTTGCCTCGGAGCTTAGTTCTTGTGGCCCTTTCTTACACGCCCGGGGAAATGCTGATCGCCACTCTGGGGTCAGGAAGCGATTTTCCTCTGGACTAATTTGGCCAGGGATCCTGGAGATTTTTGTCATCTTCTGGGCATGGAGCAGGGGTCACTGGGTGTGTGTGTGTGTGGAGTTATTTGTAAATTTCCTGCATTGTGCAGGGGGTTGGACTAGATGACCCTGGAGGTCCCTTCCAACTCTATGATTCTATGAATGTGACCGGCCCAAGGTCAATTGTTGCACAAATGGTGGCTTGTGTGTCCCCAGGCCTTTTTGGAACACTATACACCAGGAAAATGTTTGGTCTCGGCTGATGCACTTTCTGGGGCTGTTGTCCCCCCGCCCCCATCCCAGAGTAGCGGTATAGGCTCTGGAGAATGGAACGAAAACGTCAATATTCAATTATCACTTCACTACAGTGAGGCCCGCCCTGCATTGCCCTGGCATGCCTGCATTCTGCCATCCTGGTCGAGCGGGTTTCGTAACCGGCTTCAGTATGGGAAAGAGATGGGGTTACGACCAACGCTCCCTCTAAGCTGTGGAGTCTTGTGAGCGAAAATTGTACTTCGTGAGCTATTGGCGTTAAAGTTGTGAGCAAACGATTTGGCTGCTGCATACGTTAGTTTGCTCTGGAGCCCTCCTTCCTGAGCTAAGACAAAAATGTGTGAGCCGGAGGCTAAAAATTTGTGAGCTAGCTCACACTAACTCAGCTTAGAGGGAACATTGGTTACGACACCCTGGCCGTCCTCCTTCCCTTGACTGGCTCACTTGGTGCTGTTTCTCTGCCTGGCTGCCCCCTCCCCCGGCTCACTGGGTGGGTGGGAAGTCAGGTCAGGGCCCAGGCCTGGACCTGGACAAGAGAAGAGATGAAACTGGATTTATACCCCACCCTTCTCAGAGCGGCTTACAATCCCCTTCCCCTCCCCACAACAGACAGCCTGGGAGGTAGGTGGGGCTGAGAGAGCTCTCCCGAGAACTGCCCTTGAGAGAACAGCTCTGAGAGAACTTGTGACTGACCCAAGGTCATACCAGCAGCTGCATGCGAAGTGGGGAATCAAACCCGGTTCTCCCAGATTAGAGTCAGTGCTCCTAACTACTACACCAAACTGTTTCTCTGACAACTACCAAGTAAGAAATAGCAACATTAAAGAAGACATGGATAAGAATTGCAGACTCTGACTAAGGTTGTGAGCGATCATTGTCCTGAAATGAAAGATAGTCATGATACGAGAATCAGACACAACTGGAATTGTAGGCATGAGCAATGGAGCGGCAGATGGAGTGATTTTGAAGAGCAGTGTTGCAGAAGTTCCACGAAGCATTGAGAAGTGTCATCATCATCATCATTATATATAAATCATCATATTGAGAAGTGTCAAAATGAGCTCAAGAAGCCATGTATTGGCCCAGAATTAATCAGCATGGAGCAAATACAACAGCGAGCTTTTTTGTTTGCCTAAATATAAAACATGTCCACAACCTGAGCCCCTGAATCCACACCCAGATATAGGGCTTTTCCTCACCTGTGTATTTCTGTTGCTTTGGTGTCCCCCCCCTGTTCTGCATGCCTTTTGCTCCCTCTAGTGGTCACTGTGATATTACATAGCTTTATGTCCTGCATAAAAACCAAGGATGAAACAATAGTCTGATTCAGTATAACGCAGCTTCCTGTGTATAGTTTAGTTGGCTTAGATGGTCTTTTAAAGGGATTAGACGAATTTGTGGAGGATAAGACAGTCAAGGGTTATTGGCCAGAAAGGTTTAAAAGGAACCTCCACTTTCAGAGACAGTACGAGTGCCAATGTTGGGGGGGGGGACAACTGGGGGGAAAGCTTTGGCCTCTGTTTCTAGGTTGTAGGCCTTTTGGGGGACATATGATTGGCCACTATGTGAAAGAAGATGCTGGACTGGATGGACCACAGGTCTGCTGCAGCGGGGCTGATCTCTTGTTCTTATGATGACACCCTGTTAAAACTTAGTGAGTGTGATTTCCGACGTGTTGTCATTCATCAGGGGTTCAGATTCTTTAAAGGTGCGTATGCCAGCAGCAGCAACAGCAGCAAAACTGAAGCAGACCCAATGGGGGTTCAGCCGGAAAGAAACAAAAAGTCACCTAATCAACCGATTCCCATGTTGTGAGCAGGTCCTTATTTGGCATTTGTGACAGTTCTGCACAGGGGTCATTTCGTAGAAAAAGAGGTGCAGGAGCTCATTAGCATAACTCATTAGCATAACTTATTTGCATATGCCACACCCCCTGACATCACCGGAAGTGTGTCAGAAGGCAACACCCACCGCTCAGGCTCCACTGGACTGTTTTGGATTGCTAGCTATTGGGGGGGGGGACGTGCAGATCTGTCCTCACAGAGGAGGGAGAGCTTGTACCTGAATAAAACTTGGTCTTAAAGGTGCCACTGGACTGTTTTGGACCGGGGGGCTGGGGGGAGTTCTGCAACTTACCTGGCTGCTTCTTGCTCTGACTGAGGGCTGCTGGGAACAGGGGGTGGGGCTTGTTGCATGTGCCCACCCCCTGGGCTCTTTACTGCTGAAGCTCTGCTCCTGTGTGCTCCTGCAGGAAATGACGCCTGGTTCTACAGATAAACAAGGCTTTCCTCCCATCATTTGTCCAACATGGCATTTGCAGGCCCTCCTGGAATGGTGGCTAAGTCTGGCCCCCATTTGCGGATACCTAAGTCTGGCCCCCATCTGCGGATACCTAAATCCGCAGATTGGGGCCATTCTGATGCTAAAGAGATTTTTGTGCAAACCTTGGGGAAAAGAAAGAAAGAAGGAGGGAAAGAGGGAAAGAGGGGAAAAAAGATAGAAGGAGGCGAGGGGGCGAGGCTTGTTGCATGTGCCCACCCCCTGGGCTCTTTACTGCCGGAGCTCCGCTCCTGTGCGCTCCTGCAGGAAACGACCGCTGGTGGTGGGATCTGGAGCTGTGCCAGGCTGGGTAATGGGGGCAGAGATGGGATTCCCCCCTTGTGAGCCTCACAGGGCCCCTGTTTGTTGACCTATAATTGCTGCAATTCTTCTCAAATTCTTGAACTGTAGCAACAAGCTTAAAAAGTTGATTGGCGAGGAGAAAAAAGACACCCAGTCTGTTATTTTTTTTTCACCCTGTAAAACACTTTATTGTGTTTGCCCCATAAGATCTTGTGCGATATACATCTCTCTCTCTCTC